CATTTTTTTTCGATGGCTTTTATTTGATTCATCTTTGTTTGAACTTTGCCAGTCATACCCACATGCTAAAGGGTTACAGAACAAACCTTTCTCATTTTTTGATGATTTTAAAATGATATTCGAATATAATAAAGCAACCAGTCAATGAGTTGAAATAGCAACCAATGCAATTGAATCATTAAATGTTAATGAGGAAGCTTACTTATCTTTTAAGTTTGATATCAATGTTGAAGGAAATGAGGAGAAAGGAGACAATGAAGACATAATTGGTTTTGCTGCTCTGAGCAATGCAAGGACGACATTGTAAGGTAAAAAGTGTGCTAGGAGTGATGATGGAGCAATCGTTGGGTTGGTGCATTAGATTGGCAATATTGGTGCTTCATATGATCGAGCTATGAATGTTATGGAGGACATTTCAATTTACTTTAAGACAAAAATTAAGCATACAGATAGAAGAAAATCATTTTTCAATGAAATAATGTAACTCAGCAAATTTATGCCTGATAAAATACTTGCCGCTAGTGAGTATATGCTGAAAAAAATCACAAAGTTGAGTTTTTCTTTATGATGGCAGCTATATTTAGAAGTAATTAAATTCAAAAATAATTAAATGAATGTAATGCATATCGCCCACTGTTTGACTTTGCTTTGCCTGGACACATGAAGATCACACTACATGTTGTTTAGAGATTCATTATACAATTTTGAAAACCTATTTATTTAATTAAGGCAGGAAATGGAAGGTTGTAAATATGTAAATCACTGCTTCGCATGTTAAACACGGGTTTATTTATATTGGATTTGTACATGTGTGAATCAAATACATATTTGTAATACTACGAATTACATTTTGAAATTTAAATTATGAATATTGTAGTATTTTAATATTACGCCACACATCCGAATTTATAACTAATAATGTTGTCATATAAAAATATTTTTTTTGGAAATAATAGTACTTAGTATAAAAATATGTGTAGTCATATAAGCTACCAATTGATATAAAACAAATATATACCAATAATATTAAACCAATACCCTAATCAAAAATTAAACATTATCCATGTAACATGGCATGTTAAAAACATTATAAACAATGTAATGCATATATTTACACCAAACCAACATTCTCCAACCTCAAGGTGTAGCGAATGATAATACATAATCAGACCATTCTTTACGGACTTCATTAAATTCTTCTTTCATGAAGCTTCTTTACTCTCTCACTATAAAAAAAATCAAAAGTAAATTTAATAAATGAGAACATAATTTAGCTTATTTATTGGAAGATATTACTATTGTATAGAATTAATACTAACATTGAATGGTTTGATCATAAAATCATATAAAATGTGATCATAAAATCATATAAAACTATCTCTATCATAACAGGAAGGATATAATATCCATATTCAGTATATCCTAGTTGACGAAGAACCTAAAAAATAAATTTAGTGAGTTAGGAAACATTTATCTAAACAAACTTAGCATAAAAGAATAAATTTCAAATTTACCTATATGATACCATTTATCTTTGCTTTCTTATCAACTGCAAACATTCTCCTAAATCGAACAAAAAAAAGTTGTTAATACAAAAATAAAAGTAATTATGAAGAAACACAAGATAATATAATAACATGTGATACCTCTTTATAAAATTATGAATATTGAGATTAGGCTTCGTTGTTAGTTGAGCAGAGTTAAATAAGTATGGCATAAAGGAATTGGAATCAATCATAATAAGCTACCAATGATGACTACAAAATAATAAGAATGATATACTCAGATTAGGCATCATCTCAAATTTGGATAAGGTTAGAATAATTAGTTGTATGAATATAACTTACGTAGCATTATACAGCACCAAAAAATAATTGGTCTATTTTTGCATGCATTAACCCACATGATGACCACGAATAACGAAGTGTCACTCTCTTCACTAATCATATTTGGTCAACAAATTTGAATTTATGGGTCATTTGTCTCACCTTGATCTCTTTATATAGAAAGTTGCACGATAATAATCAACAATACTAGTTAGCAATACACCATAATATAGATTAATAGATATTGACTTTGCATATTTAAATTTATAAGCTAATCTCATATAGGTAACGATATCAGAAACTAACATTTCATTCAAGGTACAAAATGCCTCAATCTTAGGCCCCCTAATGTAAGAAACTGATGGATGATCAAATAATATACCTTCAAACTCAATGGTAATGATGTTTTCTCCAAATAAATGATCAAGTGCATAATTAGATAACGCATCAATGGTAGCCTCAGCAAAGGTCATCCTCTAAGTCCCAATATCATGCTACAATATATAATAAAATATAAGTATTAAAACCAAATCAATAAATATAATATACAAATAAATATTAAGTGAATAAACAAAATCATATAATTAGTATGAACATATTAAATTTTAATTAAATGATCATTTAACAAATTTTATGAAATAGTTGAATAAACATACCACAACCGACTCTCATATATGATCCTTTAGATCATTAGGAACTTGTCACCAATTATGGTATATAATAGAAATGCTATTATGGATGACTGCTTTAATGTGAGTAGCCAACTCGGTAGCTCCATCAGACACAGGTTGCCCACTTTGATTGAAGTCAACTTGAGTTTTCATGTCAGTCGCTTGAATTTGTTTATTTTGTTCCCTTGTTTTTTTTTTTTTTCACTATGGGTGTGTTTTCTTCATGTTCAATAGTAGGAGACTTATGTTCTTCAAATTTCATAATACCTGTGATTTTGATCACAATTATATGAAATGCACCAAACTATCTCTCTAAATTTCACACAGTAATAAAATACAACTAATATCATACTACAGTTACTAGACTAATATACGTAAAACATCCTCAAACCAATAATATTTTATAGGTACAAGTCATACTGTGATTTTCACTTTAAATAAGAGTTATATGCAAAACAAATGATGAGTTAAAAAATACATACAATTTTACAATACCATAAGCAAACCATAGTATTTAAACCAAACTACAAAGAAACACCATATATACAATGAAGGGAGTTTGGCGACTAAAGGTGAACAGTGGAATGAATAAAAAAATTATATATATAGTAAGGAACCAAAAAAAAAAACCCGTATACGAAGAATACAACAATACAAAAAACAGAAAAAAGATGCCCATATACCCGATAAAAAAAAAAGGTGTTATGGACTGTTAAGTTGTTGATGGTCGACGACGACCAAGAGCAGTAAATAAACCAGGAAAGCAATTAAAATGGGTGATAATTTAGGGGTTGGTTGTAATGCGGCTGTGTTATTGTTCACCTGTATTAGGCTATTTAAGGATTTTCAAAATTCAAGAAACGGGAATGACATTTTACAAATGACCCAAAGGTGTTTTACAAAAAAAAAAAAAAGCTTTAAAATGATTCCTGATATTATAAAAAATGTTATTTTAAGGTGTTTTCTAGCCAAAAACCCCTTGAATAATCCAATTTAATTTTTTGTAAAAGATTATTCAAGGCATTTTTTGAGCAAAAATATCTTGAATAATCTCCTAGTAAAAAAATTAAAAGGGATTATTCAAAGCATTTTTTGCTAGAAATGCCTTAAATAATCCCATTCAATTTTTTGTAAGGGAATATTCAAGGTATTTTTTAATAATCTCAAAAAAAAAAAAAAAGAAGAGATTATTCAAGGCATTTTTTGCCAAAAATGTTTTGAATAATCCCCTCAAAAAATTTGGAAAGGATTATTCAATGTGTTTTTGACCAAAAACATCTTGAATAATCCACTCATAAAAATTGAAAGGGATTATTTAAGGCATTTTCTGAGCAAAAATGTTTTGAATATTCTTAAAAAAAAAATTAGAATGGATTACTGAAGGCCTTTTTTTTTTCAAAATTGCCCTAAAAAATGCCCTTTCAATTTTTAATTGAAAATAATTATTCAAGACTTTTTTGTCAAAAATGTCTTAAATAATCCCATTCAATTTTTTTAAAGGATTATTCAAGATGTTTTCAACATAAAACACCTTGAATAATCCTCTTAAAAAAATTAAAGAGGATTATTCAAAGCATTTTTTGTTATCAAAAATGTATTTAATAATCTCCTCATAAAAATTGAAAGGGAATAATCAAGGTATTTTTTACTAGAAAACACCTTAAATAATCCTATTCAATTTTTTGTATGGATTATTTAAGACGTTTTCTGACAAAAAACACCTTGAATAATTCCTTTTAATTAAAAATTAGATTACTTAATTTATCATCATATATCTAAAGAAATTATAGTAATTATTCAAGATTTAATATATTTAAATTTCTCTCAACCAAATGAGTGATTCTGAATACAAAATACCCTTAAAATAAAAGAAAACCTCGAATATCACATTTCTCGAAGATCACACTTTTCTTCAAAATCTACGATTCTGCGAACCAAACGCCCCCTAAAGGTAAAATAGATAAAAAATTTTATTATTGAGATAAAAAATGAGAAAAAAAATTTGTTTCCTTCTAGGAATATTAAAAAACCTTAAAAGATTTGAGTTTTTGATTTTGAATTATTTGAACATTGTTGAAGATCTTATACTACTCCCCAAAAATCAAATATCATAAATCAAATTAAGAATTCAAATTACGAAAAGTAAAATTTCAAAAGCAATCTAACTTTTCCCTCAATCAAACTCCCCCTTAGTCTTTGAATGCAACCAATGAAAAAATTTCAAGTTGAAGGCTTAACTACATTTATATATAAGAAAAGCATAGCATTCATCCATTGAGCAAGACTAGAACATGATAAGATAGCAGATTATTACATCGAAATTACTAGATTTGCTTGGTATACTCTTTGTTGAATTGAAATAAATATTTCAAGTGCCATAAAAAAAAAAAATACTGCATTCATTGGCCACAATAGGAATATCATTAAAAAAAACACTCATTCAATGGCACAATAGGAATATCATTTAGAAACCATAAACCAAAACCACACCCTTCCTTCCACTCATTTCTCCAACTCCAAGACACAAACCATTTCCAGCCTAATACATATTAGATTCTAGAAATTAGAGAGATAAAAAGAGCTAAGATCAAACTTGCACTATTTTACAATGTGGACAGATTCCCAAACACCTAGTCCTGCATTACAGAATATCATCATAGGCAACAATTTCTCTACCTTTAAAAGGCACTTCTAACATCGAAGAACCATCATCAGTACTTCTATGGTTGACAATTGCTGATGCAAGCTTAGTACCTCTTCCATGCCTGCTCAAAGGCACCTCAGGCCGCAAAAGCTTCGACGAAGACGATGACCCATTATCCTTATTAACACCAACCCCTACCCCGTCTGTGAATTGAGCTAAAGGATCTGTTGCCCACAAAACTTGAACCTGTAAGCAAAATCACAATTCAGAATCTGGAACTTGTTGACGTTGAGCAACAAAGCAAAACACTAAAATTGAACTTCAGCTCCTCGTTAAAGGGTAATGATTTCAATTTAATTGACTTTTTTGACTTTTCTATTCAACCTTGAAGCTAACCAGTTATTTTAGCCAAATTAGCTCCAAACCACGCATCATTTCAATTACAAAAACACTTCTCTTTTTACTTTTCCACACTTTATGAGAAACCAATGAAAACAATTAAGAAATTAACACAGGCATACGTTTTTTTTTTTTTTTTTTTTCTAAATTACCTTTTTAGAATCAATGGTAATACCGAAAGAGGAATCAAGGGAAGCGGCAACGGCAGACTCGGCGGATTCCTTGGAGCGATATGCTATATAACCGACAGCATCACGGTTGATGCGTATACGGGAGATTGACCCGTAGATCTCAAACCTCGACTTCAAATCAAGTACCGAGCAGTTTGGGGGAAGACCCATGATGACCACAGCTCGTGGCGTTGGCTTGATTGCTGAATTGTCCTCATCCTCAGTTGGTGGCGCCGGGTGAGGTGGCAGAGGACGACGCCTCTTTGAGATGGAAGCGGGGTTGTAGCTGGAGAAGTAGGGTTTGTCTCTCTTTCGACTCATGTTGTCAGATAATGTGAAAAAAAAAATACAAAAAAAAAAATGGAAAACAAAAGTTCAGATAATAATTGAGACCGCGAGAGTCTTTAATCTGGACTCTGGAGTTGAGTTGGCGGGATTTCTTTTTGGGTTTGTCTGGAGTAAGGTCGATCCTATTTTAAAATAATGAGATATCATTATATCTTTTCATATGTCATGATAAATTATAAAAATAATGTAATTTTAAAAAATGAAAAACATATTAACATGTAAATATTAAAAAATATATACATAATGTTACTTAATTTATTAATTTAATAAATACAAAATGATATATTTTTTAATTTTATAATATCAATTTATTTTATGAAATTAACTTAATTAATTATGTTTAATAATATATTTTTTCTATTTTCTTTATCATTATAGTTAAAATTATTGAAATTTTTTTTGAGAATAAAATATTTCAAATTTATTTTACATTTAATGATATAAATTTTATAATTATTTTTATCCTTTTAGTTAATAATTTTTTATCTAAAATTTTTTAATTAAAAAATATTAATTTTATATTATTAAATTAATTATATATTTTAATTTTTTATTACGTTTATGTATGTATATGTTTGGAGATTAATAATTAATGTTCGAGTTCGACTAGTTATACAACTTTAATGTGTCACATTTAAGAGTAGAATCGATTGAATTCGAGTTGATATAGTATTAAACTTAAATTTAAATTTGAATTTAATTTAAAATTCAAGATTCGAAACTTGATTCGAATTTAATCGAATTTTAATTTTTTAGTTCAAATTTAACTCGACATAAAAATCAAGTTATTCGAGTTTCATTTGATTAGATTCGATTAATATATAAAAATAAATTTAATTCTTATATTCGATAAAAACTTGATTATTTATATTCTAATTCAAGATATTTTATTAATTAAAATAATTAAAAATATTAAAATATAAAAATTCAATTAAACTTACAAATATTCAATTTTAATATTAAAATATTTAAATTTAATTCGATTAATAAATTAAATTATTTAAACTCAAATTTAACTAAATAATAATCAAATCAAATTTAAATTTTATTTGAATTAAATTTAAATAATTTATAAATACTAATATATTATTTATTTCTTTAACTACGTCAAGCTCTTCGGTGAAATAATTACCAAAGGTTGATCACATTTAAAAAAATGAATTTCAGGAGAAAAGGACGACTACGTGACAAATATTGGTACCATTAACGGTCTAAAGAAATGTGGTCTCATTGTTTGTAAAAATGTAAAGATAATAAGATTTTTATTTTGGGGAAAATAATTGTTGTGTTTAAAATTCGGCGAAAATCATAAAAGGGCCAATTAGATACCTTCTTAAAGCCCAACTCTAGCTTTGTTTGACATTGCCTAACCTTTATTTTATTTTTTACCTACCTTGGCTTAATTATATTTTACTGTTTATATTTAACGGGCATTTGGTTTGAGAGAAAATTAATTTTTCTTTGAAATTTAATTTTCATGTTTGGGTCACAATATTTAATTTTTAGATATATTTTAATATTTTCAATAGTGTCCAAGTATTTCAAAATTAAAAATCTACTTCTTTTTATGATTTTTTAAAATTTCAAGAGAAAAATTAATTTTGTCTCACATTAGATCTTAATAATAAATTTTTCTAGTCTATTTTATTTTTAAAAATCAACATAATTATATGATAAATAAAAACCCATTATAATACAAAAATAGGCATTCATAACTATACGATTGAGCAAAGGTGCAATCCTAATCACATGATTAAACATCTAGCATATGCTTAGACACGTAATATATTACATATAATAAAATTAATGTTTTTTAAAAAATAAACGTAGTGGATAACTACAATTTTATATTTTTTTATTTCTTTTATTTTAGAAAGCACTACTTTTTTATATATAAAACGTAGTAAATTAATTAAATTAATAACAAAATAAAATAGATAATTTTTATATCAATGACATTTGTTATATTGTAAATGTATTAATTGATATAATATTATAAATAATATTATATCATACTTTTCACTACGTTTCTAATGACAAAATTATAGTATTTTCTAACAAAGATCATGCTTCTTTAATAAGAAATGTAGTCTTTAAATACCATGTTACAATAGAAATGTAAGAGAGACAACAAAGATCACGTTTCTTTGATAAGAAATGTAGTCTTTAAATGCCATGTCATAATAGAAATGTAGGAAAGAGAAACTTACTTTTACCAGAAATTGACACGAATTTTTTTTAATTTTTTTAATCAAAGATTATGTTTCTACTTTCAAAAGTATAGTTTTTGTAAATTGTTTTTAATTAAAGACTACATTTCTACGTTCATAAACATAGTTTTGTAAAACTTTTTTTAATAAAAAACTATGTTTCTACTTTAAAATACATAGTCTTTGCAAATTTTTTTTTTATTCAAAGACTATATTTCTACTTTCATAAATGTAGTTTTTGTAAATTCTTTTTTCAATCAAAAACTATGTTCTCGATTTTGTTATATTTTTTATTAGTAATAAACTAGCTTATTAACATTATAAAGATAAAAACTTTTTTTTTTGTTGTTTAATTGTTGTCACATGTTTAATTTTAATAACATAATAGATTGTTGAAATGTTGATCACGTGTTATTCACATGTAATGAAACTTATTATAGTAAAAAGCATTTATTACATAATTTAATTTTCTCCCAAATTAAACACAAGAATCTAACATTCTCATAACATAAAGAATCACCTATTGTCAAAAATCTACATTTCCATGACGATCACTTTCCTTTTCGAAATTTAAGATTCCTCGAACCAAACTCCCCCTTAATTTATTGTTAACGTATACATTTTATTCTATCGATAAATTATATAATATAATCTTGTAATGAAAAGGTTTCTTAAAAAAATTAAATTTTTATATATTTATTTTAAGGGTCACTCAAAATTTTATATTTGCTCACTAATCAAATTATATTATATGATTTGTTGATAATATTTAAAATTTATACATTGATAATGTATAAAATCTATATAGATATCAAATATAATATCTTTAAGTCATTTAGTTAAAAAGTGATAAACACTAGCTGACAAAACAATAAAACCTCCTTTTTTTATCTTATGATAACCATTAAAACCTTAATCTACCTTTAAAAATTATGGTTATAGTATTTTTTAAATAGGGAGCATAACTTTGGTTGGTCAATCCTATCTTTGTATGGTAATGCACACTGTTGATCCTTACTCTTATTGGACAAGGCAAATATCTAAATCTAACAAGTGTATTTGTTTGCTAACCTAATATCAAGTCTTGAAATGGGCAGGGGATAGGGCAACCTTCTCAAACCACTTTTCCAACCTGGTTTTGCAATCTCAAATCTATAACTTACAATAAAAGCTCTCCCTTATTATGTTTTGATTACCCATATCAGCAATGTACTTAAGAGTAATTGGATGATTAATTTTGGAATAAAACCATTTTAAAAGCTTTTGGATCTGTTTGATTATAATGAAGGAATAGATCATTTTAATCTTAAAAAATGATTTTAGGGATAATTTTGAAACTAATGCATATATTTGAGAATAAAATTATCTCTACCTGTATAACCCATATTAAAGTTTAACTATTGTTTGCTCTCTATAATTCCTAAAGTGAAAAACTAGAAGGAGACAAGTTAAAGCTAAGCTCAGTAATATTTCCATCCAAACATTAGGTGGGTTCACTCACTCATTTTTTATTCTTCTCAATTGCTATTTGGTTACTCATAAAATGTGCTTAAAAGGGGGAAGAAAGAGAATTGAAAATTTTATTTTGTTTTAGAATTTCATGCACAAGTTTTGGCATTTACTACATTAAAATGCAAATAAATGCAAAATTCTTTTATTAATTCTTTTTATATGATATTTTGTTTTGGATCAAACGAGCGTTTCAAGATCAAAATCTCATGCATGCATTCATTTCCTTTGTTTTCACTTATTTACTATTTCAATTTCAGAAGTAGGCAATTCAAAAAGTAAAAAATATATATATAAAAAGATAGCATCTTCTTTTCAAAGAAAAATTTAGAAAAAATTTCTTAAATTTCTTGATAGCATATTTTATCTTATCTTTTTGTGTTCTTGATTTCTTTATTACTATTTTCTATTAAAAATTATTATTATTTGAAATTTAGCATAGTATTAAAGCATATTGATTTTGACTCTTATTATTTTTTTATCCTCTGTCATATTCCAAACTTTTTAATAAGAACCTTTTTTTTTTTTTGCATTGACATATATATTGACTTTTTCAATATCCATTGTTGAATTTTTATATTTCATATGACGAGCTTTACGCTATGTTTGGTGAAACATTAGTAAAAGAAAGGAAAGTAAAGTAAAGTAAATGAAGGAAAGGTTTTTTTTAAAAAAAGAAAGGATATTTTTAATTTTTGTTTGGATAGCTAAAATTAATAAAAGAAAAGAAAGTAAAAGAATCCTAACAATCATTGTTTAATTAAATAAAGGAAAATGAGGGAAATGATTTATTATATATTTTTTTATTATAACCTTTGACAATCTTTGTTTTTACTATAACATTTACAAGTTTATGTTAATGTATTCCATGTTTTCAATTTTCCTTTATTTCTTGATAAAAATAGTCATAAATGAAATTTATGGAATTCCTAAAAATAAAAAAAAAATTGGAGACAATAAATTTATTGGTAAATGATATTTTGTATTCTCAATCTAATTTTGGAGTTCAAAATCATATACTTTTTATTTAGAGAAATTAATAAGGATATAATAGTCATTTTATATTTTAAAATTTTATTCTTTTTTTTTCCTTTCCTTTTGCCCTAATTTGGGGTAATTAAAAAATGAAAAAAGTTGAGGAAAATCAATGGGAGCTAATCATACCTTCATTTCCTTTATTTTTATTTATGTCATATACAAACAATGGAAAGGATTCCATATTTACTTTTGTTTTCTTTCCATTCTTTTCCTTTCTCTCTCCTTACCTCAATCCAAACTTCTTGTTAGTTTCTGGACCTTTATTCAATCTCCCAAT